CACCACAGTGACTTCAGACAACTTACGAAGACTCGTGACATCCTGGGAAAGTCTTGGTGTAGCTAAATCACTAGCTCGACCACTTCGCTTCACTGTTGTTTGTCCATCAGCTTCTACAACCTCAACAGCCTTCGATATATACTCACCAAGTACCGCTTCGCCGCACTGCACATTACCAACCTGTGAAGTGCCAGAACTCCGAGATTTCCTGTTCTTCGACGAGGCCGCTTTGCTCGGAGCATTACTCTGCCGCGGTCTTTTAGGCTTATTCTCCGGACTGGAAGGTACAACTGCCTCGATATCAGAGGCGATTGGAGCTTTGCGATCGATACACTGTGGTAACCATAATAAGTCTCCCGTATATAGCTTCTCTCGAGCTATCACACGAAAAACACCGTTGTGACCTTCGTCTACAACCACCTTCACCGGTGAGCTCTGGTTGGATTCCTTGATATCGACCTTCTGGAGATCTGCTTTTCCTTTAAGGATGTGCATGCCGTTGAAGACACTCGTTGACCCACATAGGTACATCTTACCACACTCTAACATATGAGGTGAAGACTTATTCTCCACCGAAGACCACTCGTATACTTTAACAGGCATCTCGACCGATATAACACCGATCTTCCACCCATTTGGGGGGAAGCCACGAGGCGCTTCACATTTATTAGGTGAGCGAGAGCTGCTGATATGATCTGTAGTATAGGAAGGGTCTCCGGCATCAGCAGCTATGATATCGACGACGCTCCTCGCCCTAGCGCATACGTGAACAAGACCATCGAATCTGCGGGAACGGCATGAGATATTCGAAACTAGAAATGTACGAAAGGAGTCCTGGGGATTCCCCAGGGGGGAAACCCCAGTGGGATAGCAAATAAGATTTTCCCACCTGAATATTTCATCATCCGGCTCGAAAGGGTGCTTGGCATACAGCCAGGTTCCGCCATCCTTCTCTAACACTGTCACGTTATCATTGAATATTTGAAAGCTTTTTGCTCTAATTTCCTCACCGCTGAGCATGCGGATTCGCGCGTTTATCTGCCAACAAAGACCAGTAGCAACACCTGCTATGTCAAATGGTACTCACGCTCGCTAGCGGAGCTTCACGCCATTCAGGAAGGCGAATACTCGCCCTATAGTGAATGGGGACCTGAAAGAAATCTGTACTGCCACAGTAGCATCCTCATTCAGCACACAGTAACCTACAATCATCTCCATACTATCCAGCATGGATACTTCGAACTGCTTCTCCTCTTCACTCGTCATGTCTCGTCCTTCAGAGATCCAAATCACTTGCCTCCTGGCACCCATCATAAAATCCAGAGTTTCTGTCACATGCCGTTGAGGGAGGGCGTGAAGCGGTGCGAATGCCCGAGTACGTAAACCTGAGATACATATCATTGAAACAGACTGAAATTTGAATCGACCCTTCGGTCATTAGATTCATACGATATAAAATCGAGCTCAAGACTGGACGAACGTAAATCGGAGTCTCATTTTCTATCGGTGATTGTTTCGAGGCTTTAAATTTCGAGCTATAAGTCACAGTCTATGAGCCATTAGCAATCTCTGCGCAGCAAAATATGCGAAGAGTCGAGATAGCCGTTTACCTGTCTT